TCGCGCTGGTCTCGGCGCAGGGGTGTCGGTGGGGTGTCGCGCCTTTGGGAACGGGCACAGACCAGACGTTCAACGGAACAGCTGAGGTTTAATCCACACCAAAGCCCCTAACGCGGTCTGCTGGGCAAAATCCCGTACTAAAATTACCAGAGGTGCCCCGCGTTGGCACGTGCCTGCTGCCCCTCGCCTCCCTGCAGCCCGGCTCTCCCCCGGGCTGGAGCGAGGGTTTGGACCGTGCCCCCCCGCCGCAGGGCCTGGGGCAGAGCAGCGTCCTGCTCCGTGCGGCCTGGCTCCGGGAAAACGGGCAGGCTCGGGCATGGCTGCCTGGGTCGAAATCTTTGATCAGATTAATATCTTCTAGCTTCTAAATCTTTTGACTTTGCAAGACGAAGATGACACCCTGGAGTTTGATCCTGACCTGTTACGCCACAGTAATCCCAGTTTTCAGCAGGGTTACGCCTGATTTACGCCAGTGCCAGACGAGACCCCAGCACCGATCTCTGCTGAACGGCTCACGTGTACCGGCCCGTTTTTCTGCGCTTGCAGTGGGAAACACAAGACCCAATTTTTGCCCTTCCCTAGTCTGCCCCAGCTCACGGCAGCCCCCCCAGACCTCCATCATCTGCCCTTGTGCCAACAAGCCCACATCAACAAGCCTGAATTTGCCCCTCAGATCCGTTATTTAACACCCGTTTTGCACGTAAGTGAAATCAATCAAGTGTTCAAACAAGGCTTTTTTTAGATAAATGGGTCTTTACACCTTCATTTTAAAGTTACAAGTAGCATTGCGCAGGAGGGAGAGTGAAAAGCTGCAATTTCACCACCAGCACAACAGCTCGAGTACCTGGGCTTCTCACCGCCCCCCGGCCACGCCAGTGCCGGACCCTTATCCACGAAGGAGATGTTTAATAAGATGAGCCAAGGAGGAGAAACTGTTCCAGGGTTCCTGAATACAGACAGCATGGAGGGCACAGAAAGCCCCACGCCGAGCGTTCCTGGGGGCTGGGCGGTGAGAGGGCGGATGGCAAACGCCGTACGCCCACCCTGGGGTCCATCCCGGGCACCGCAGGAGGCAGGTGCCAGGCTCAGGACACCTGGGAGCCCAAACTGCCCCGCTGGGCCTAAGCCAGACGTCAGAAAACAGCGATTTCAGCCTAGAACAAGTCCTCCTGGTTAAAGCACCACAAACATTGAGTCATCAGCTGGTGTTTGGCAACTGGTTTACAGGATGGCTGGCAGGTACCGCTGCCCTTAATGACCGTCAGGGTCCTTTGTGTCCATTTGATTGTTCGGATTTTCCATTTGGAAGCGCTCTACGAAGAGCGACTGTGAGCCTTGGTCCAGCTCATAAAAACAAGTCTGCTCTGCGCACCCTGCAACTCAGAGCGATTAGACACGACCAAAACTCTGCCCAGCCCGTGACCCCAACGGAAAAGGCTTCTGGTGCATTTCAGGGACATCAGCAAAGGTTCTCACACGCCCAGCTCCAACGTATCGACAAACCATCGCACTCGGATGGAAGAGAAGGAACACTGGGGGCAGCGAGCAGACCGAGGGCAGGTATCTCTAGGTGGGTACTGTGACAGCTCACGGAAAACCTCAGCCTAGCAACACATCTGTGCGTTTGTTTGTTTTCTGTCCGATTTCTCTCAAGTGAGTAATTAACGAGAAACTGAAACTCCATCCACACCAGACAAGTTGGTTAATCTGTTTTGGAATAGAAGGCACGAGTTACCTGAGGAGATGATTCCATCCGAGTCAGAGCAGCCTCGAGGCCACTGCTGGTCAGCAACGCCTCCACAGCAGCTGGCACCGACGCGTCTCAGCCGGGCGGGCAGAGCTGCGTTACCGGGAACGTTTCCTACATCAGCCCCTAAAGCCTCAGGGAGGGTCAAGACAGTTCTTCCAAACACGACACCAGCCTTCACCACGGCTCTGCAGCTTGCCACCTCCTCCCATCTACTGCCCAACAGAGAAAACCTCCCTCCCCACCCACAGGTCACGGGCAGTAGGAAGGAGCCAGGAAGTACTTCAGGTGGGCTTACAACAGGTGTGAACCCGTGCCGTGGAGCGGGGACAAGGAGCAGAGGGAGGCGGGGGGCGGCGTTTTTTTTCCCCCAGCCGCTCGGCCTGGCACACACCGGGGCCGGAGAACGGCGGTGACGAGGGACCGCAGGGCAGAGGGCGCAGCTTGCGCCGACCCGGGAAGTCAGCCCGAGGAAAATTCCCAGCCCCGGCAAGAGAACTGTGCCTGGGACCTGGCTTCAGCCCAGTGAGCTTTGCTGGCACGGCAGCACCCGAGCCCCCCCGGCAGCTGAGTTTGGGCGGGCGCACCAAGGGCAGGACAAAGCTCCGGGTGTTCCCTCCAGGACACGCAGGTCGTCAGGAGCTCAGGCAAGACACACACAAGATTAATGACTGTGGAAAGTAGGCTTTTTATGCGTTTTTTCAAATTGCAATTCTAAGAATATCCACCAGTGACCCAAACCAGGTACTTCACACAGTAAATGAGAATTCTTTATTTAAATTAACTTGCTTGGTTTCTATGTAGGACAGGAGAAAGGCCCAGCTTTTCGTCTCTTCTCAACGGCCAAGGAAAAGCCTCCTGAGCTGGTCAATGCCACTGAAAGAGCAGTTAATCTGGGTTTTTACTGAAGTCACAAAATGATGTCACTACTCTGCATATACCTTTGTTCATATAATTTAGTATATAATGCACTGTTCGACTCTGCCATATATTTTGAAAAATATACAAACCTGCTTTAACCACGTTAGAGATATTTGACAAACAGCTGTCAAGTACATAACAGTTTAGGACAAGATCAGACACTCCTAGAACGTCATTTTAAACTACAAAAAGAACATGAATTCATATAAAATACAACAGATTAAACAAACTTTTTTTCCCGAGGAAAAACTAGGTATCAACTCAATCTGCCACTGTGTGAAACATGAATACAAAATAAGTTACAGTTAGTAATGCCTGCATTGGTGAGCTGTGAACTGGTCGAATGGAACCTTAAAAAAACTATACAGTATTATTGCACTCCGGACTGTGCAGGATCGGCAACGGGCCAGCACTGAAAGAGCTCTTTCATTAAGGTTTTTTTCAGGAGGCACGACGTGGCTGCGAGAGAAGCATCCAGTCTGCACCAACAGCGTGCTGTCTTCAGTACAGGCCTTCATGGGTCCGAGCCACGCTGCCTTTGGAAACCACCACTTAATGCCTGGAACGGAGACACAGGAGTTACAGGCGGCAACTGCTCCTGCCCGCCCGAGCGAGACGCCCCGGCACTGCCGGAGGAGGAAGCCGAAGCTTCTTCTGTAAACTAGGGACAACAGCAGGCCACGTGCTCTTCGGGTCGTGAAACCTGAATTGCGAGCGCTGCCTCTGGGGAGGTCCTAACTCGCGGCAAGAGAGTCCTGTTAGCATTTTATTCTGGGTTTACTACGAGGATACCATCAGAATGGCTTTGCATGAGCAAGACTTCAAAGAAGGAGGCATTAAAACACTGAGTCTCGACTCTCCTAACCTGTCGTTTCCCACGTGGATGGAAATACAACTGAACAGGGTTTTGTGTTGTTTTTCTGA